ATAATACTCAAAGTTTAACTAAGTTTAGCTTAATTTTATTGTGACATTTCATTTCATCATCCTGTATCCTTCCAGCAGTAGTGCCATCCAATATCTCTTGCCATTTGTAGAATCTGTATTCTGTTTTCTTGATAAGACTTATGTGGACTTCTCTTGACAGCTTGTTGTTCATTGCATATTTTGTGAAGACTCGAAACCCTCCATCTGTTTCCTCCATCAGCTTGCCTTTGGTTATCACTGGTGCTTCTGCCAAAGTTACTCTCATTGTTTCTTCTAAATTTTCTCCCCTTTCTTCATCCATGTTTTGAAGCATGAGATAGAGTTCCAGTTCATCTACCTCTCCTTTCAGTATTCCACACATATCATTTCCCTCCACTCTTGGTTTGCTGTCAGTGTCAACATTTTTCTTATCACTTTGTTCATATTTTTCTGCAATTTTTTGAACTCTATCTTCAAATTTCATCATTGTTTTGTCAGTATTCTCAACTCTTCCCTCCATTCTTTCTATTCTTTGTTCTATAATCTCAAGACTCTTTTCAATTCTTTCGGTGCTTATTAGGACTTTTTGAATTTCTAGCATAATTCTTTGCAATGTAACTTCCTTTTCTTCTTCATGTTGCACAATTTTTCCCGGTTGTAAACACTGCCACTGAGACATTCAAGACTTTTTGCTAGGTTTCAAATAAATTCAATGTAATCTTTCAAGTCAAGGCTTTCTCTTTATTCCAAAAGAACACCTGTATAAACAAGACATGTTTTCTCTCTGTCCCTTTCGGTAAACAAAGCCAATAGCCTTGAGATATCAAATGTAACCAAGCCTCCAGTCTCTAGATGGCAGTGTTACTTCTTTTTCTTCTGCTTTTACCTCTCTCTTTAAGCTCCGAGTTTAAGAAGAGAAAAAAAAAGCTTAAAATGTTTAAAAGTTACGCCGAGCATTGAGAGGAAAGAGATTCTTAATCCACAAATACAGATAATGGGGAAAAATAGAAGAAGAAGGAAAAAAGAGACCAGTCCAATTTAAAAGTAAGGCATTTGTAAAAATTCCATCCATAAAAAAGAAACGAAATTAAAGAAAAAAGATAACACAATAGTTTTAATTCAGGGTAATTCGCCACTTACTCTCTTCTATCTTCAATTTTAATTTTGGTCAAAGTCTTTTTGGGTGTTCTCTTCTCTAATAGTAAAATTTATCTCACCAATTTCAATATACTCTCTCTCATGCTCTGCTTCCGTTCAGGGGGCTGTCCCAACCTTCTGCAGCTTCATTGGCTGCTTCTCTTGTAGCCGGGGGGAAAAAGCTTCTCCTGGATCAATCAGGGCCTTTGCGATGCCCCTGAGATCAGCAGGACGTGCCCTTCTCTATCACCATCTCTACAGGATGGTTTAGGTCCAAAAATGACCATCCATCAGCAGAGATATCAACAGCAATCCTGGAGCCCCAAGATTGCGTGTCATAGTGTCATAGCGACGTCAGCCCCGCCCCTCCTATGGACTCATATTTATGACAGTTGCAGTGTCCCAGGGTTATGTGATCACCTTTTGCGACCTTCTGACAAGCAAAGATCAGCAGGGAATCCAGATTCACTTAACAACTGTGTCATTAACTTAACAGCTGCAGAGATTCACTAAAGAACTGTGGCAAGAAAGGTCGTGAAATAGGACAAAACAAATGATTCGCTTAGCAACAGAAATGTTGGGCTCAATTTTGGTCATAAGTTGAGGACTAATTGCATGTGATATTTATCTTCTCTACCTAACTAAGTAACCTCATCGGCGCAAGTGCGCAGCAAAGCCTCCACTTGCTTGCAGTGATGAATTTACCTAGTTGGGTCATGAAAATTCTGCAAGCAAACAACCAACTTCCAAGAGCACCAAGAACTTCACAGTCCAACTCTCTTCTAGATAATCTCTTCTAATGGGTATTGTTACGAGTATTGTGCTCTAAAATATTGGGATTCTACTAATTATTTGTCCCAGCTGTGGCATAGATTATGCACCCTTGTGCCTTCAAAATGTTTTGAAGCCACTTCAATTTTCTCCTTCCCTTCTTCCTTATTTTCAAAGTGCTAAATTTGTCAGTTTTTTTAAAAAAGAATTATTCACTTTTAATTTGCTCTGCTCTAAAAAGCTTTGTAGCCAAAACATCCCGTTCCATGCCTCCAACAGATAAATGAATTTCGTAATCCTGGCCACGAGCCTCGCTGGGGAGGCCTAATGGGAACTGTAACCCAGAAACCTCCGGCAAGCACTAGACCAGGGGCGTCAAACTCTTTTTCATTAAGGGCCTGATCAGGGTTGTGTTTGACCTTGAGGGGTGGCCAGGGTGGGGGTGGCCAGCTCGATGTCACTTGTGTCAGGGGCGCCAGTGTTGGTTCGAGCTTTCTGCCAGCAAAAACAGGCTCTAGAGCTCCGTTTTCAGCTGCACTGACCTCCTGCAATCCTCTGCCAGCAAAAACAGAGCTTCAGTGGGCTGCCCGTGGCCCTCCCGAACTCTGTTTTTGCTAGCGGAGGCACCACGGGCCGGTCCTTTGCTGTTTCCAGGGTGGCCCCGTGGGCCAAATCTGACCCCTTGGCCTTGAGTTTGACACTCCTGCACTAGACTAATGATCCCGTTTATTAAGTGATTAAATATTGCAGCTCTCTTAGAAAAAAATCTGAATGCTATGCAAATCGTTCAGGTTTATGTGCAGGACCTCCTTCGGAATGAATTGGAAGCAGAAGTGTACAGACTTCTCCATGAAGAAGAGGGACACCTGTATGTCTGCGGGGACATCCGCATGGCCAGCGAAGTGGCTAAGACCTTAAAGGAGATGTTTGCAAAGAAACTGAGTTTGACCGAAGAGGAAGCAGAGGACTACTGTTTTCAGCTGAAGGTATGATGAGCCATTTCCATTTGGTTGGCTGCCAAACTCAATCCTAAACCTAGTCCGCTTTGTAAACATGGTCTATGGAACGGGTGAAAGTTCTCAATTCATATCTTGTCATCTGGGGTCAACACAGGCTTCTGGCATTCCTCAACAAAAGGGGGCTGAATTGATTATTTGGTTGAATGGCTTTAGGAATGATCTTCTAAGTGGGCAAGGAAATGCCTTTGAGGGACACAAATACTGTGGGAAGTCTTAAGAAGTTGGCAATCCTTGATTTTTAGATAGGCTTTCCAAGCCCAGACCCTAAAAATATGATGGATTCTAATTTCCATCATCTCCCAAATTGTAGTCCAGCACACTGCAGTAGAGAGTGGCATGGGGGCTCAGCAGTTAAAAAGCTGGATTTGTCAGCTGGAAGCCGGTACCCCAGCTTCAAGACCCAAGCACTACACAATGGGCTGAACTCCCATTCCTTGCTCCAGCTCCTGCCAACCTATCAGTTCAAAAGTGTGTGAATGCAAGTAGATAAATAGGTATCACTTTGGTGTGAAGTTAACAGCGCTCTGTAACATCATGCCGGTCACATGACCATGGAAATGTCTTTGGGCAGCACTGGCTCAACGGTGTTGAAACAGAGATGAGACCTGCCCCCTGTAGTTGGCAATGACTTGCAAAATCAAATCTGCAGGGACTTCTTTACCTTACCTTTACACTGGATTAGAGAAGATTACTTTAAAGGTGACCTTAATTCCCATTTCAGAATTGACTAGTTCTATCTTCTCCTCTCCTGTGGCTTTCGACTATATTATGAGTATCTTTATTTCTGCAAAGTTCCAGGGACAGACCACAAAGTTTAATCTAAGTACAAATTATACTATGACCGTTAACTTTTTGGCTACTTTTCTTGTCAACTATTTAATTCTTTACAAGTATAATGACCCCCTCATTTTTCCGCTCTTGTTCATTCAACTTTGTAGCATTGATTTCAATTTTTAATGGACTGATGATCTGGATGGATTAAGAATATCAGGATGGAAATGTTTAAAAAGAGATACATGAGTTCTGCATGTTTCTACATGTGTTTGTGGTGTTCACATGTTTAGACTGGATTGGGAATTTTTATCCCGCTACTGAGTCCTTCCGAGATCCTGGGATAGTCAGATGTTGCTGTTTGATAGTGTTAAAGGTATCATTGCAGGATGCAATCTGTTCCAGATAAAGTTGTCTTTTGCAGTTGACTAGTGTTGGTTTTGTCAATGCTGCCCAAATACAGAAGAGGGGCAGAAGTCTTGGACCCCAGATCTCAAAATGAGCAGGAGGGATCCAAAAACGCTGTTAACTAATTCGGAAGTGATGACTGGCTCTGCCAGTATGGGCCCCATTCTGAAACCAATAGCAATAGCACTTAGACTTATATACNAGGCTGAGTCAACCTTGAGCCTGGTGAGATTCGATCTCCCAAACTGCTGGCAGTCGGTGATCAGCAGAAGTAGCCTGCAGTACTGCACTCTAACCCCTGTGGCTCAGCCAAGCTGGCTAAGATAACCGTGGAGCTGGTAGTGAGGACTTATTAGATGGCAATCCTGGACATCTCAATTTATTTATTGAATAAGTTGAATAACATATTTATAGAATATTTTTCCCAATTTAACTGAGTTTGCATTGGAGGACTACCCACAGCGAATGATCAGAATGAAAGACAAGTAGTTACAATCCAAGCCTTACCCCTTTTTACATGCTTGTAACGATAGGATACGGCTTGCATCAGGGCAGATTTTGACCCTCCCTATCAATGCTGCTGGTTTGAACAATTTGTGTTTTAACGGAGTCCTTTCATCCAGGCCTCTGTTTAAATTTCCACGGGAATTAATACTAAAACAATCCCACCAATTCTTAACTTTCCTTGTTTTGTTTTTACAGAGGCAGAAACGATACAAAGAGGACATTTTTGGAGCCACGTTTCCAAAAGAGAACCAAAGAACCATGGAAGAAGTTAAAACTGAAAGAACCATAAAAGTTTTAGAAGCTCAAGTCCAGCTAAAACTTTAACCGTAACTTCCTACCCAGGGGCCTTCTTTAGCCTCATCAGGGGTCCCCAAATGTTGCTTTTACAGCAGCATCTGCCAATGTGGACCAGATCAGCAGAATTTGCACCCCAAAACCAAATCGTTTGGGTTTTGGATAAAACACTACATACTGTAGTATTTTATTTAATTATATTTAATTCTTTTAGACGTGTCTATTGGAACTTTTGTAGCAATCAGTCTTTATTATATTATTATTATTATTATTTAAATTCCATTCTTGGACAAAGGGGGCAGCTTTTGTGGGCTGTTTTCACCCTGCTTTTATACGTTCAGAAGAGAAAAGGCGAACCTCATTTAATACCAAAAACTAGAACTGCTTATACGTGCTTGCATAGGGGCATCTGGGGAGAGGATATTAAAAAATCAAGACGACAACAGTAAGCACATTATTGCATGCACACATCACGCATAAAAATGTGTGATTTGTATTAATTCTATCAGGAATTAATTATGCCATTGCAGTTGCCATCTTGACTTTTCTGACTTCCTCTGTGGATGTTCCTGGCCTTCCATAATATGTGCCTAAGGGGTTGTTTTTGGAGGTCATGTTTTCCAGGCTCATAATATTACAAGGAAAGGAGGGTGATTTCTGGACCTTCTTCTTCCCAGGGCCGAGAGAGGGACTGGCTGAAGGGTCACCCAGCAGATTTGTCCCTAAGATAGGGCTAGAACTCAAGAGTTGTTAGCCAGTGCCTTAACCTTCACACCAAGCTGACTCTCAACACCACAACCCGATTTCACATTCCAATGGCATCAACCCATCCCCGATACGTTGCTACAGTATTTGCTGAAAATGAGTCTACTCTTTTGAGAACTTCAATGAGGGCATTACAGCCACCTATCAAACAAAGGACCAGCATTCGTTGAGACAGAATTGGTATTGATCATCCTAACCTCTGTCCCAAAGGGTGGGCTATGGATTGTCCCACCTTGAATGCTCTTCAAGAGCCTGTCTCGCCCTTCTGAAGGAGCCGGTCTCGATCAGCACAGGGCAAATAAAATGAGACCATCTATTGACTTGAACATGGTTGTTGTTGTTTTTTTGTCTCACACCTTGGGCGATTGGGAAGGATCAATGTGAGGGAAAGAACTGTGCAACGGGACTTGAATAAAACCATTGGTGAGTTCCTCATTGGCACTATTCGTTTTTCTTCTTGATTGTGTAAACTTTAAAGAAACGACTGTCCATCGTAGATTAGCAGAATTCCCCAACCATTCTCTGTAGTGTTCTCAATACTCTGCATCTGGTGTCGGAGCTAGAATACTGAAAAGCATTAAACTCCCCATGTTTAATTGATTCATATTTGGATACATTTAGAGTTTCTTTTGACAAGATGGGTATCACCTCACATCTTGGGCTGTTTTTCATGGACTAGCTTTTTCCATCGGAGCAATTCACAAAGTTGTTGGGCTGCAGTTCTTCGCTGTAGCTTGACCATCTCCATCCATCCATCCACAATAGCAGTAGACTTATATACCGCTTCATAGGGCTTTCAGCCCTCTCTAAGCGGTTTTACAGAGAGTCAGCATATTGCCCCCAACAATCTGGGTNGATTTTCGGGCTTCATGTTGAAAGCCCAGTGGAAATCAAGAGGGGGTCTAGTGCCATGCAATCAAAGTCGTGTCTCTGTTGAAGTGCGTAATGTCTGTGACACACATGAGGGATTGTTGCGATTTTTTAAAGTAAAAGACTGTATGTCATACCTGTGAGGATGTTGGGAAAACTGGTTTGGAACAATCTGGATTGGCCTGGAAAAAAAAAACAGAAATCAAAGGAAATTGTATGAGCAAATATCAGAACGAAGTGCTACCTCTACATCAGTATTTCTCAACCACAACAATTTAAAGATATGTTACCTTCAACCCCAGAATTTCTCAGCCACCTTAAAACTGTCCTTAGATCAGGGGTGTCAAACTCAAGGGCCGGATCAGACCCGAGGGGTGTTTAGATCTGGCCTGCGGGGCTGCCCCGGAAACAGCAATGGACTGGCCCACGGTGCCTCTGCCAGTGAAAACAGTGCTCGGGGAGGGCTGGGTGCGGCCCTCCTGAGCTCCAGTTTCTCTGGCAGAGGGTTGCAGGAGGCTGTCGCAGCCGAAAATGGAGTTCGGGAGACCATTTTTCTCTGGTTAGAGTGCTCGAGCCAAAGTTGTGTCTCTAGGTCTGAAGTGCACTAGGTCTGTGACACACATGAGGGAATGTTGCCATTTAAGTAAAGGACTGTATGTTATACCTGTGAGGATGTTGGGAAAACTGGTTTGGAACTAACTGGATCAGTCTGAAAAAAACCCAGAAATCAAAGGAAATTGTATGAGCAAGTATCAGAACAAAGAGCTGATTTTTTTTGGAGTATAAGATGCGCCTTTTTCCCTCAAGAAAGAGGGTGAAAATCTGGGTGCATCTTATACACTGAATACAGCATTTTTTTGCCTCCCGAAACCCCGCCCCCTTTGCAAAAATGGCCATGCATGGCCTTTAGGAGGCTTTCAGTGAGCTCCTGGGTGCTGGGGAGGGCAAAAATGAGCAAAAAACAGACCATTTTTGCTCGTTTTTACCCCCCTCCTCAGCCCTCAGGAGCACTCTATAAGCCTCCTAAAGCCTTTGTGTGCCCTTTTTTTTGACAAAAACAGGCCCGTTTTCACGAAAAACAGACCATTTTTGGGAGGTCTGCAGAGTGCAAAAACTTTTTTTTTAATTTGCCTCTTCAAAATCTTGCTGTGTCTTATACTCCAAAAAATATGGTACTTCTACGTCAGTCAAGATGGCGTCTAGTGCCATGCAATCAAAGTTGTGTCTCTGTCGAAGTGCATGATGTCTGTGACACACATGATGGATTGTTGCCATTTTTTAAAGTAAAAGACTGCATGTCATACCTGTGAGGGTGTTGGGAAAACTGGTTTGGATTTAACTGGATCGGTCTGGGGAAAAAAAAACAGAAATCAAAGGAAATGGTATGAGCAAATATCAGAACGAAGAGCTACTTCTACGTCAGTGTTTCTCAACCTCAACAATTTAAAGATATGTGGCCTTCAACCCCCAGAATTCCTCAGCCAGTGAAATATAAAATTTATCTTCCCATACCATAAAAAGGCATGCCACCCTAGTTGAAGATCATGCCCTCCTAATGTTAATAATCTTACATGTCTCAAGCTAATCCATTCTGTTAGATACCAGAATCAGTTACAATGGTTTTCACCAAGGTCCTCTGTTCCGTTGGGAACAGAGATTCAACCTGATTGGTCGAAGGGTCTGCCAGCTCCTATAAAAGCGTGGTCACCTCATGGCTGCTGCTGTGTTGCAACATTTTCAGGGGAGGGCTTATTTTTGGGGGAGGGCTTATTTTAGTGCATGGGCTCAAAAGCTTGATTGGACTTATTATCTGGGGAGGTCTTATTTTCGGGGAAACAGGGTAGTTGTAAATTCAGGATAAGAAATTATTTTCTTATATAATTCTAACTCTATTTTGATGTAACATCTGGATTTTTTCAATCTAATGTTTCTGTGCTTTTATTTTTATTAGGAGTAAGAAATTATTCTTATTACATATTTATATCTGTACCGCAGAAATTTCCAAATAAATCTCTCTATTTTGTCACTTTCCCCCCTTTTTGATCCCCTTTCCCTCAATTTCTCTTTTTTTGTTGTTATTTTGTATTTCAAGTATTTTATCTCTCTTTAAAACTTAATAAAGTCAATTTTTTAAAAATTAAATATGACATTAAAAAAAACCTCCTGATTGTCCAGAGGTTGGATCAGAAGACCTCCAAGCCCCCTTCCAACTGTGTTATTCTGTTAAATAATAGGTGAACCACGTAACCTGACATTGGCTCAATCACAGTTATGTCTATCTTGGAAACACACCAGGAGAACAACTTCCCACTAGATACTGAATTATAGGATGCCTGGCATCGTAAAGTGAAGTGGATAGGTGGGAATCCTAGAGCCGAGGTGGCGCAGTGGTTAAATACAGCACTGCAGGCTAATTCAGCTGACTGCAGTTCGGCTGTTCAAATCTCACCGGCTCAGGGTTGACTCAGCCTTCCATCCTTCCGAGGTGGGTAAAATGAGGACCCGGATTGTTGTTGGGGGCANGAGAAAGTTCACTCCAGCTAAAAGTCAACTTTGGGACTCCAGGGCACTAGAATGAAAAGCCAAGCTAATATGAATTTATAAGATCCATTCTATTAAGACCACCTAACCTGGCCAGCCACTGGTGGGTTTACCTGTGCACCCCCTCCTACATCACTATCATGAATAGCGCATGGAGGTGACTAGTCTAAGCTGCTGGTCTCACATGGGGAGGCCACGTGGTGAAGAAGACACTTTCTGAAAGTGTGTGATTTGGAAGCAAAGGAACAAATGGCCCAGCAATGGCCATTCTCTGCTCATTTGTCCCTGTAATGAGGAGTGAGAAGGCATCTTCCTCCTCTTCAAAACTGTCTCTAAGGTAGAGCAGGAGGAGCATCTGCTCTGAGATGATAACATTTGGATTCCTCTGCAAAGGCCACTGACATCCTGATGTTTAAAGCTTTCTTTTTTTCTCCCCAACTACTTTCTTTATAAGTCATGTCTTTTTAGATTATAAATTCAAAGACAGAGACAATTATTTTGTAAGATGTTTTTCAGCAAGCAAAGTGCTTTTTAAATACTCTCACATCACCCAAATAAATTGGGCACTATCTGTCAGGAATATTGTTGGCATTTGTCCCATTGAAATTCTTTTCCCACTTACTTAAACTCTAGAGTCCAAAGAATCAAAAAGGAAGGATACAATCCTGAAATTTCTATGGTGTCTAATTCGGAATAAGAATGTCAATTTTTACCACACTTGAGTCAGCAAACAAAACTAGATATGAACTAGTTTATTCAAACAATTAGAGTGGAAGGGGAAGAAAACAACTATGGTTCTTAAAAACTCAAAAGAGCATTTGTTCAAACTTTAGGTAGTAAAGCTACTCATCAAT